CCCGCTTCCGATCCCGCGCCCGGCGGAGCGGCGGCGCCGCCGGCGGCTAGGAGCCCAAAGAAGCTCACCGCCCGTGCCAGGCGCGAGTACTGGGCGTCCAAGGGCGTCGTCTCGCCAAAGGAGCAAGAGGGGGACCTGGACTGATCGCCGCCGTCGCCACTACTGTGGGTGTGGCATGCTGCGGGATGGCGGCTGCGTTGGGGGAACGGAGTAGAGGCCAGGCCGAGGAGACACTCTGTCGCAGCGACTAGGCTGCTGCATCCCCCATCCACCTTTGGACTCACCTTGTTCGTTGGTCGACATGCCTGCTCGGTGGACCTTTCTTCCAGCGCAAGCGAATCGAGCGCAGGGCGGCGCATCGCAGCGCAGCACAGCACAGCATAGCAAACCATCTCGTCTGATCGCACAGCAATTTGTCTTGTTGGCCGCACGGCGTCCGCCTCCTCGGTCTATGCTCCTGTCCGACCGATCGCCGTCCCACCGTTCTAGGCGTCTGCCGTCGTCGTCGTCGTCGTCGTCGTCTCCTCGGCGCCGGCGGTGGCAGCAGTGGCGTTGGAGTCGACGTGTACACCCTCGTCCGACCTGTCCGTGGGTCCGCCATCTTGCAGGGCCTGTGCATCCTCTCCGCTCCCTCCAGCACCAGCAGCCGCTCCAGCCTCGTCCGTCGTCGATGGCGCAGCCGATGCCGCCGGGTCGACAGTCGGCGGCGGCGGTGGGAAGACATCCTCCATGAGTCCGGGCAGGAAGCGCTGTACGCGGTCAAAGGTGACGGCCCACAGCGCCGCCTGGTTGGTCGTCCTGTCGTCCTTCGTCCCCGGCGGCGGCGGCGGCAGGAGCAGGTTGGATGCGCTCATGACGAGTAGGACGTTTTTGAGGTTCTCGGGGATCGCCTCGGTCAACGGATCCCTCCTCGCACCCGCACCCTTGCCCCCGCCGCCGCTGCTGCCGCTGCCGCCGCCGGTGCTGCTAAACATGCGGTCGAGGAGCTCGAGGATGCGGCACCACAGCTGCTCAAACTCGCGCTCGCTGCCCTCGCTCAGCTTGACCATGAGGTGGAGCAGCGTCTTGCAGACGAGCGCGCACGCCCGGATCCGCGTCTCCATCATCCCTCCCGGGTTGCCTGTGGGATCAATCTGGTAGACCTGCGGCTTGAGCAGCTCCTCGAGCATGGGGAACAGGATGTCGTGGAAGAGGAGCGTCAGCTGCGTCGACGTCGACGTCGTCAGCAGCTCCGGCGCCAGCAGGCACCGCTGCAGCAGCACAATCGACGACTGCCGCACCGCCGCGTGCGTGTTGGTCCACTGCCGAGACAGCGAGTAGAGCAGCGGCGGCCAGTACGTCCTCCAGGCTGTCGTGGGTGGTCGTGGGCAGGCGCAAAATGGGGCCCGGGCCGACGGTCGGTCGATCAATGCGAGGAAACAGGAAGGACGATGCGTCAGCGGGCTCGCTGCGCGCGCATTTCAGCCACAACGGACGCCCGCGCCATGCACTCACCCTGATCCTCGCTCAGCTTCGACTCGCGGATGATCCGCGGCACCTCGTTCTTGAAGCCCTCGAGCAGCTTGACGGCCTCGCAGCCGCGCTCCTGCTGCACCTTTTCGACCTCGGCCATCTCCTTTTTCTCGGTGATCGTGGTGCGGCGATGGGGCGCCTCGCGGAGGAGCATGTTGCGCCACGCCGTCGTGTCGGCGCCGCTGGCAAACTCGGTGAGCAGCGCGACGGCCTGGAGGAAGTTGTCGGGCGTCAGCAGCACGTCGGCGCGATCGCCGTCCTCGCCCACCGTGGCCGCCTTGGCCGCGTCGAACGCGAGGCGGGCAGCATCGGCGTTGCGCACGTTGGCATTGTCGCCGATCAGGGCAAAGATGAGGCCCCACTCGGTCTGAGAGCGTGCGAAGCGCGGGTTCTCGCGCAGGATGGCCTTGAGGCCGGCGAGGAGCTGCTTGGACCCGGCCACCCTCACCTCGGTCGGCAAGTCGCGCAGCAGGTCGAGCGAGAGGAAAAGCTGGTCGCGCAGGTCGTCTTCGCGCGCGGCGTGCTTGAGCAGCCGCAGCAGCGCCGCCACCTCGCGTTCGACGAGCGTCGGGTGGTACGACTTGGCCGAGCGCAGCACGGCCGAGACGTGGTCGAGGGCCACCGGCCACACGTCGCCCAGCTGCTCGCGCGCGCCCGACGCGATCGAGACCATCATCTCGAGCGCAAAGACGACCTTGGCGTCGTAGGCGAGGGCGCCGCCGGCACCGTTGAGTGCGGCACTGTGCGGATGGGTCGCCGGCGTCGGCGTAGACGTCCCGTCCGCGCTGGCCGCCGCCTCGCGGGCCTCGAGGCGCCCGACCGTCAGGCCGTCGGCGAGCTCCTTGAGCGCGCTCATGGCGTAGACGAGCGACTCGGGCGCCAGGTGCTGGATCTGATCGTAGAGCTCCTCGATGCGGCACGACGCCACGCAGTCGACGGTGCACAGCGTGGCCTCGACGTCCTCCTCGGTGGCCTCGTAGGGCGCCGGCTCGCCCGCCGAGTACGAGGGCGAGAGGAGGTAGGACGAGAGCGTGCTAAAGAGGCCGCCGCCCTGGGCGCGCGGGTCCTGCGGCGGCGGGCCGGGCAGCTTCTTGGGCTTGAGCGGGATGGGCACCATGCCGTCGAAAAAGTCGTACATCTGCAACATCGACGATGGCAGCAGCGAGTCGGCGAACAGGTTCTTGAAGATCTCGAATATGTCGGACCAGCCGGAGCGGATGGCGTCGCAGTTGCCGTTGGCGATGGTGAAGAGGACGACGGCGGCCAGCTGGCCCTTGAAGTTGACGCCGAAGCGCACCGAGAGCGGGCTGACGGTGATCTGCTGACCCTCGACCTCGAGCGTGGCGTTGGCCGCGGCAGCGGGCGGCTGCGGCATCGAGGCGTCGAGGAGGCCCGTGGCGCTGGCCAGGCTGTGGACCATAAAGTCGAAGATCTCGGTCATGCCGAAGCTGCTGGCGAGGATGGCGCACTGGCGGATGCCCGAGATGGCGCGCTCGACCATGTACTCGTCGCGGTACGACGAAAAGGCGTAGGCGATGCTGGAAAAGATGGGCTTCCAGCTGCCCTCAAACATGTCGCGGTCAAAGGCGGCGGTGCGGGTGGGCGCCAGCGTTCCCGCGGTCCGCGAGCGGCGCAGGATCTCCTTCCAGGCGTAGTCGAAGCCGAGCTGGCCTGCGTGCTCCTCGGGCATGACAATCTCGCGCCGCCGGATCGAGTCGTAGATGGTGCCGAGGTACTCTGCGTCAAAGTCGGCGCCCTTGTTGACGCCGCGCAGGTTGCGCTTGTAGTCCTCGATCGACATGCGCGTCTTGTTCTGCGGGTTGTGCAGGTCCGTGTTGAGCATGATGACGGAAAAGGCGAGCACGTAGACGGCGTCCTCGCTGGCGATGCCCTCGGGCCCGGCGGCAAAGTACGTCTTTGCAAAGATCTCGGTGATGCGGTCAATCTGCTGCGCCTCGCCCGGCAGCCGGAACGACTCGAGCATCTCGCGCAGCGCCTCGGCGATCGGCTTCTGCTTGAAGTCGAACAGGCCGATAAACGCCCGCAGGACCTCGACATTGTCCGGGCGCGAGATGTAGTCGCCCAGCAGCTTCTTGTCGAGCCGCGGACACTCCTTGAGGAACTTGGCGATGTGCGTCGCCCGCGGCACGCTGGCGTCGCTCGTGTCGATGAGGCCCTCTTTCTCGAGGTAGGCCAGGCCGTCCTTGGGCTTGGCGTTGAAGCGAGCCGCGCCGGCCAGGATCGCCGCCTTCTTGCCCTTGCGCTCCGATAAGAGGGCCAGGTCCGGGGCGAGGTCGGTCGCCGCGCCACCGCCGCCGCCGCCGTAGTACTCCTGCCGGGCCGTCACCGACGCGATAAACGAGAGCAGCGCGTCGAGCGCAAACAGCTGCAGGCTGTCCTGCTGGCCGGGCTGCTGCGGGCTGGTGGCATGGACGGCGCGGCAGAGGAAGTGCATCACCTTGGCGTAAAGGTCGTCGCAGTCGATGTCGCAGTCGTAGTTGATCCACAGATCCACCAGGTAGTCGTTGGGGCGGTCGTGGTCGAAGAAGCGGAAGAGCAGCGCCATGGCCTCGACCAGCAG